GCCTGCGCCGTGCTGTGCCTGCCCTGCGTGCCCAACATCCTGGTCATTGCCACCGAGTCGGGCATGCTCTACCACTGCGTGGTGCTGGATGGAGAGGAGGATGATGAGCAGGTACCTTCCCTTGGTTTGGTTTTTTTCTGGAGGTATTTTTGTGTCTTTAATCTAAGTTCTTGCTGTAAGGCGGCGGGGTGCCTCGAAGGGTGTGCCAAGTGCCAAACTGCATTCTTTTGGAATGAGGTAGTGAATCTTTCTCCTGTTTCAGCCAGTCCCTGTGACTCCCTGACACATCTCAGTTCTGGGTACCCTGACAGTAGATGAGTTTTTGATCAAATTTACTAGGATCTAATATAAGGAGGATTTTCTGAGAAACCCTGCATTCGAGTTAATTTTTTTTTTAAGTAAAGTTGAACTACATTCCTTGACAATTAAATCTTGTAACTCTTTCTTGATGCTGTTTATGTTGGCATTCCTATTTAAATGGTGTCTGACAGAAGAATTCAATGCTCTTTACAGTCAGAGAAGTCCTGGGACCCAAGATCCGATCTTATTCCTTCCCTGTACGTGTTTGAATGTGTTGAGCTGGAACTTGCACTGAAACTGGCAACAGGAGATGAGGAAGATCCTTTGGAGTCTGATTTCTCTTGCCCAATCAAGCTGCACCGAGGTAGGGCTGTTGTTCAGCTCGTGGCTTTTTATTCCACACATTTAGGATCCAGTTATCTGCACATTCTCATCAGTGTCAGACAAACGGGGTCACAGTAAGGATTTGCCTAATGCCCTCAATACAGCTGTGGAAGGAGCAAGCCTGGCAGGGGCTCCAGTGTAGATTACACATGGTCAAATTCTGTCATCTGAGGGTTATGAAGCAGAAGTTTCTGCATCTGTGCTGACCTGTGAGTGTGAGGGAGCGCTGTGGGGAGGGTGATCCTGAGGGAAGGACCTGCTTATCCCATGGAATTGGGGCAGGACAAAATCTTTGGGTCTTTGGGAGCAAGCAGCTTGACAGAATGTGGTCTGCTAGTTTTAATAATCTGCCATTGGAAACTTCTCTGAGTGATGCAGATGTGGTGTGATAGGAAGGGTTCAAAACACTCATCAGTATTTTAGACTCTAACCTGTATCTCTGTTTCTCATGCTGGCACTAAGGTGTTAAAGCTGATTGGACACTAGGTTGATACACAGGATCAGCAGTGCAGGTGTGAAGGGTGAGTTTTTCTCACCTCAGTGCCATCTCTTACATTTTCTGCTTCAATTTCAGATCCCAAATGTCCCTCTAGGTACCACTGCACACACGAAGCTGGTGTCCACAGTGTGGGCTTGACATGGATCAACAAACTGCACAAATTCCTTGGTTCAGGTGAGTGAGGGAAGAGGGGAACAGATGAACATCTGCCAGCAACAGGCTGGATGCAGGTACTGCTGAATCTCCATGCAAAGTGGATCTGATGCATCCTGACCTGTCTCCTTGTAGATGAGGAAGACAAAGACAGTTTACAGGAGCTGGGAGCAGAACAGAAGTGCTTTGTTGAACATATTCTTTGTACAAAACCACTGCCATGCAGGTAAAAAACCAAACCCTTTCTCAATTGCTTTCAAGTTGGGGACTTGCTATGGAAAATATTTATGATTTGTCATCTTTTGCTGCATTCTTGCCATAAAAGTAAAGTAAGCTCAGAAGTTTTCAAACAATACAACTGAGCAATCTGTGTATCAGGATTCTTACTGCACAATAAGGGTAGTAGCTTAAATTCTTCTGTTACTGTCTGAAAATCACCTGTCAGACCAGCAGAAATTTTCACTTCCATTTACCTGACCTTGGAGCATTTCCAAAAGAGTGAACATGCAGTTTCAGGAATTAAGAACTCTCCTGACTGGGTAATTTTTGTGTTCTTCTCTTCAGGCAGCCTTCTCCAATTAGAGGATTTTGGATTGTTTCTGATGTCCTGGGGCCCACCATGATTTGCATCACCAACAGCTATGAGTGCATTACAAGGCCTCTCTTGTATGTGGTTCTCAGTTGAAGTCCATGACTGCATGGAAAGGACCAAAAAAGGATATTCCTGTTTTTCAGTTACTCTTTGGTTGTTTCACCCCAGGCTTCTGCAGCTCTTAGGACACTCCATGAAGTTTTGCTTTCTGAACACTCCTTGGTTGAGCACTGGGAGTTACTGAGCTGTTACCTACTGCTGATGAGGTGTTTGTAGGGGATATAATTAATCAGGTCACTTTTAGTGAGTTTTAGGACAAAAAAATGTTCTTGATGGTATTGTTGGGGTTTTTCAGTAGTGTTGATATTCTTAATGGGCTGCTGAGGTTATGTGTGCCTGAAAGGGGAAAAACAGAAGTAGGAATTTTGTTTGTGCTTCCAGTTACTTTCTTTGGAGGTGGTGGCAAAGATACAGAGTGGTGTTAATGTGCATTTGCACAGTGAAATGAACACCTTGAGGGGGTGACACTATTTTCAGCTTTTTTTTGCAGGACACTGTTTAAGGTAGGACAGAGAGCAGAGCCAGTGTTAACATGAGGTTCTCTTGAATACCTTTTATTTATTTCACTGTTTCCACACAGGTGGGCAGTGACCAGGCAGGGTGCTTTGTGGAGAAGGTCACGCTGCTGTTCCAGTGCCTGCCTGCCTTGTTCTGGAACTTCCTTCTTAAGCCAAGGGATATTTATGATCCTTGCTAGTTTGAGCTGTGACCAAACAGGTGTGGGGATGTGAGCTTTGCCTGCCCTGCTAGGGCTGGATTTACCA